GCTAAAGAAAGCCAGGCCTCTTCCCCTCCTGGCTAAGACCGAGAGTTCCTTCCTTCCTTCCTTCCTTCCTTCCTTCCTTCCTTCCTTCCTTCCTTCCTTCCTTCCTTCCTTTTTTCCTTCCTTCCTTTTTTCCTTCCTTCCTTCCTTCCTTCCTTTCTTTTTCTTTCTTTCTTTCTATTCCACCATGAAGAAATTGAAAGCAATGTCATTTGCTTGGTAGTCGCCATCCAGAAAAAAATCAATGCTGTTTAGCTTCAGGAAGGAAAAGGCCCCGCGTTCCCATCCTGTCGGAACCCAAGACTCACGTGTTGTTGATGATATGGAATTTCTCTCCTTTGACGAATGTCAGATCGTCTTCTGTTCTGGCTTCATAATCATACAAGGCAATAAAAAGGGTCACTCCGCCACCTGCAAAGAGAGAAAAGAAGCGTGAGGAGGACAAACTCAGCCTCGGACGCGTTGCCGCTGAGAGTATCTTCCGTCTGTAGAAGACCCTCAATGCCCCACTTTCTTGAACGGTTGGACAGAAAGGGTGAAAAGTCATAGCAGGGGTGGGCTTCAAAAATTTTAGCGAAGGGTTCATTGCCCTCCGGTTGCCGGAGGGTGTGGCCATGGTGGGTGTGGCCTAGTCGGCCTCCTGCATCACGATGGGGATGGGGTGTTTTTGCCCTCCCTCGGCTCCGGAGGCTTTCCTCGAGACTCCAGGAAGGTAAAATGGCCTCCCTGGGCTCCGGAGGCTCTCTGGAAGCTGGAAACAGGTCCATTTCCGGCTTCCCCGAACCTCCACACACGCCCTGCACTTACCTGCATCCAAAACAGGCCATGTGGGGATTCCTGGAAGGGGCAGGGTGGGCGGGGCTAGCCAGGAGTGGGATTTAAAAGCTCTCTGAACTGCACAGGATCTTAGCTGGGGGGTGGGGCTCTCCAGCCCCTGCGAACCCAGCAGCCCACCCCGGCGTCATAGTGTCTTCTAATGGCTTGAAAATGTTTTCCTCTGCCTAGATGGCCACCTGTGGCTCTTCCTCTTAAATTTGTCTGGTACAATGGCTCCTTCTGCTGACTGCCTGTTGCCGGCAGTTCGGCAGTTCCAATCTCACCAGGCTCAAGGTTGACTCAGCTTTCCATCTTTCCCAGGTCGGTAAAATGAGGACCCAGATTGGTGTGTGTGTGTGTGTGTGTGTGTGTGTGTGTGTGTGTGTGAAATACTGGGATTGTAAATTGCCTAGTGCTGCAACGCACTATGAAGCGGTATAACACACTATGAAGTCTAAGCACTATGGCTACCCCAGGACCCAGGTTCTCTTCTCGTCTTCGATCCAGAAGCCTCTGCTGATTTGACTCTGGGCCTGTGGCTCTTCCCAGCCTGGAGTAGGAAGACGAAAGCCAAACCAAGCCACACTTGGACAAAGAGTGGTACAGATAGTCCTCGAGTTACGACCACAATTGAACCCAAAATTTATGTTGCTAAGTGAAACATTTGTTAAGTGGGCATGCCCCGTTTTGTGGCTTTTCTTGCCACAGCTGTTAAGCAAATCATTGTGTTTGTTAAGTCAGAGAGGGCTCTAAAGCACTGTGAAGCGGTATATAAGCCTCGGTGCTACTACGGTACTGTTATTGTTGTTAAGTGAATCCGGCTTCCCCACTGAATTTGTGTCAGTGCTCCAACAATCCACCTCCATTCAAATCATGAGTCTCTAGCCACATCGCTCAGAGTTTTTTTTTAAAAAAAATCATTTATTAGGAGTAAACAATGCTGGCATAACCTGGGTGCAGCCGACTCTGAGACACATAATTCATTTCCCCCTTGACCCTGGTCTTCCCCCACCTCCTGGATGTATCTTCTCTACTGGGACACATCCATAGCCAAGAGTAATAATCTTGCACGCCAGAATCTTCAGCCGCCTAGCTATGAAAATATGAAAATGAAAATATTTAAGGTATGCATTACTTCCCCCACTCCCTTTCTGCCGTCAACTCTAAAAGACCAGAGAAATATTTTTGAGTTGACAATTTGCTTGTCAGAAGGTCACAAAAAAGGATCCCATGACCTCAGGACACTGCAATGGTCATGAAAGTGAACCAGTCGCCAAACATCTGAGAGTAAATCATGTGATTATGGGGATGCTGCAATGCTCATAAGCGTGAGCGTGCCATTGTAACTTTGAATGGTCACTAAATGAGCCATTGTAAGTCGAGGACTACCTGTATATCACAGCCCATAACCTTTAGTAACAATAGATGATAGGTTTTGCAAGTCTCATTATCTTTTAATGGTTGGCTTTTCTTTCTGGTGTTTGGGTCACTTTTTTCAAACTGCCATTATCATTTTTTACTTTAGGATACCCACTGTCATTAAAAGTTGGCCAGATTTATAAATGCATACAATACAATACAATACAATACAATACAATACAATACAATACAATACAATAATAATATAATAAAATAAAATAATAAAATAAAATAAATAAAGAAGTCATCATCAAACAATAAACTGATTCAGATTAACAATAAATAATCTAAATTTGGCAACGTTTAAGACTTGTGGACTTCAACTCCCAGAAAAGCTGGCTGAGGAATTCTGGGAATTGAAGTCCAAAGTCTTAAAAGTTGCCAAGTTTGAGGACCTCTGCACTAAACCAACTGAAAAAAGAGAAAGGAAAACCGATATGAAGACTGACCTGTGATCCCCATTCCTGGCATGTGAATGGAGGGTGCTGGGTAGAGCACGGAGACCCCAGGACCAGCTGGAGTCAAAGGCCCTGGGGTCCCTGGGAAGTTGTTGAAATCTGGGATCCGTGTGAAGTTGGGAGGGTTCTGATGGGAGGAGTTAGGATCATAGCAGGAGTTGGGCGGTGGGTTAATGGCTCCATCGTTGCTCTTGGTCTGAGTTTGGTTCGCCTTCTTTTTCTTGCATTGTACACAACCCATCGCTGGGCAGCAGCTGCCAGAAGTGGAGAGAGAGAGAGAGGGAGGGAGGGAGAGAGAAAGAGAGAAAGAAACCTGGTTTGTTTAACCATCGTTTACTGAGTAACCTCCCCAACTAATTTGATTCATACAACAGGTGGCACCTTATACTAAAGTTTGCAAATAGCAATGGATAGTTCTCCATATCATACTACAGTAGGTTTAACCCAAAGAAATTATATCCTGGCTTAATCAGAGTCTGTGTTCACTCCTTACACTATGCCATAGTTTGTTACAATACTGTTTGCTTAAACCATTTTTTTAATGAATCCACTAATATTAGGTTTTGCTGTTACTACCTTAGCGTCAAGTTTGGATGATACCATTTTTTTCAATCTTTGAAATGCAGCAGCCGGGATGTTTGAATCTGCAACAGGCTAAGCTTTTTTCCCCCTCAAACTTTAATAAAATAAAATTAACAAAACAAATAAAAGTAACAGTAGTTCTTTAGATGCACCCAAAATTGAGCTACAACGACCAATACCGTGCATACCGACCAATACTTTAAACAGGGAGCCCTCTACTTCCAACTTCAATGGGGACCAGAATTTCTTTGCTACCAAGATGGTTGTTAAGCGAGTCATGTCCAATTTTAGGACCTCTTTTACCATGGTTTTAAGCAAATCACTGCAGTTATTAAGTGAATCACCTAGTCGTTAAGCAAATCTGTCTTCTCCCATTGACTGGGGGAAGGTCACAAATGGCAATCACGTGGCCCAAGATTGTGCAACCATCACAAACACATGCCAGTTGCCAAGCACCTAAATATTGATCATTGCAACCATGAGGATGCTGTGAGAGTCAGTCATAAATAACCTTTTTTCAGTGCCATTGTAACTTTGAAGAGTCACTAACCAAATAGTTGTATACAATACACACACCCCTGTATACCTGTATACAATACACACATATAATTTGCTTAGTAAAGAATAACTGAAGAGGCATGAAAAATCATGGAGAAGGGGACAAAAAATTGCTTCTTCCCTTCTGAAACGTTTCTGTTTGTAAGATTCCTGGCCTAATTGATAGAGTAAGGTTGCTATTTTCCCATCAGAAAAAGGCAGGAATGATGAACAGAACAGAATTGGGACCTTAGAGGTCTTCTAGTCCAACCCCTTGCTCAGGCAGGAAACCCTACACCATTTCAGACAAATGGTTGTCCAATTTCTTCTTAAAAGCTTCCAGCGTTGGAGCATTCACAACTTCTGGAGGCAAGTTGTTCCACGGATTCATTGTTCTAACTATCAGGAAATTTCTCCTTAGTTCTAAGTTGCTTCTCTCCTTGATTAGTTTCCACCCGTTGCTTCTTGTCCTGCCCTCAGGGGCTTTGGAGAATAGCTTGACTCCCTCTTTTTTGCGCCAGCCCCTGAGATATCAGAACATGGCTATCATTTCACCCCTAGTCCTTTGTTTCACCAGTTTAGATATACCCAATTCCAGCAACCATTCTTCATATGTTTTAGCCTCCGGTCCCCTAATCATCTTGGTTGCTATTCTCTGCACTCTTTCTAGAGTCTCAACATCTTTTTTACATCGTGGCAACCAAAACTGGATGCAGTATTTCCAAGTGTGGCCTTACCAAGACATTATTAAGTGGTATTAACACTTCACGTGCTTTTGATTCTATCCTTCTGTTTTGTGCAGCCTAGAACTGTGTTGGCTGCTGCAGCCCATTGATGATGGTGACCACAGAGCTGAGAAAACAATGATGCAATTGAACACAAGGTTCAAAGGAGGAGCAAGGAAAAACACACTTCTGGCTTTGTTCTTCTCAAGTGCTGCTGAATTCAGTTGGACTTTCCCCCCCATCCTGTTCTTTCTTTCTGCTCTCTGTTGGTTGCATGGCAACCTGTTTGGCACATCAGTCCAAAGAGAAGGCACCCGAAAAGCTATGGATCACAAACAACATTTAGAAAGATTCAGAAGGACCCAGGAAGGTCAGGGATACCCGCTGGGCACACCAGGGGGCAGGAAGTGCACCCCTTCCAAACCAAGCAAGGAGCTGATCCTTTTCAAAATGAAACATGTTCCATCAAAACAGGAAAAGTCATCAAACATTTAGACCTACAGTCAAAATTTGCTGAATAACACACCTGACCCCGTTTCCCAACAAGCAAAGTCAACTGGGGAAGCCACTTAATCACCATATGATTCATTTAGCCAACATGGCAAAATGGCCACAAAATTGGATCCAGTCACATGATCTCTTGCTTAATGACCATATGACTTAGCAACTGAGCAGCCCCAATTGTGGTCATAAATCAAGGCCGACCTGTAATTATTTTTTCTGAAATTACTGATTCCCACTTCTCACTCAAAAAAATGAGAGAGTGACATTTGAAAGGCTGTGTGCAAAGCTCTGGCAGCTGCAATAAATCTTAGTCTATCTTAGACTAAGATTTACTGCAGCTGCCAGTAACAGGTTCTGATCTGTTCTGGAGAACCGGTAGCGGAAATTCTGAGTAGTTCAGAGAACCAGCAAATACTAGCTCTGACTGGCTCCACCACCATCTATTCTCTGCCCCCTGAGTCCCAGCTGATCGGCTGGGTCTTCTTTTGTTGCCCTGCGCAGGAGAACGGAGCTAGAAAGCAGGTTAGTGGGGTGGGGAGGTAATGGGGATTTTACAGTATCCTTCCCCCAGAAGTGGGGTGGGAATGGAGATTCTGCAATATCCTTCCCCTGCCACACCCACCAAGCCACGCCCACAGAACCGGTAGTAAATAATTTTTGAATCCCACCCCTGCCTAGTGCTGGCTTAGTCCTGGGCTTCCACCACAGTCCTTTTCAGAATGTGACTAATGACACTTCCACAAACATTTCTGTAAAAAAGCTGCATCGTGTAAGGCCAAGTTTGCGAGGTTTTGGCAGAGGAAAATCACAGGAAATGAGTCTGCAGGGAAACTAGGCTTCCCTCATTTATCTGCAGACATTCACGGAGATTCCAAAAAGGGATGTGAAGGTTCAGGAATAAGAGAGAACCAGTAGAGATGTTTAGGGGGTTTCCAGGATTAACCCAACTCCCTTGGTAGCTGAACTTGTAACTGAAGAGATATCCTGGAGAAAAGGAAATGATTATGACCAGACATTTTTGAAGGTTGAGGAAAACGAGCATCTTGCCAGTTGGACAATATTTCCTATAATCCAAGGAAATAAAACGAGATGCCTTCCGATCAATCTCTCTTGGAATTGGCCATTTGGAGCAGGGGTCAGCTGGGTGAGGAACTCTGGGAGTTGAAGTCCATAAGTCTTAAAGTTGCCAAGGCTGGAGACCCCTGATCTGGAGTATTGACAAAGGAATAAAAAGGGAAGGACCAGAAAAGCAAGGTATCAGCTTTGGAAGCCATATTGACATTCAATGCTGCCACAATTGGACCTGGGAAAGTGGGAGGGGGGAAATCATTGAGTATATCTAGTTGGACAAAATAAAATTATTTTGCTGATTCAAGGTCACGTAGTGTTGCACATAGTGAAAAGGAAGTCTTACTTTGGTGATAGGGCCATGAGATGCGGTGATGGGGATGGGGGATGGATTTGTAGTTTTTACTTTTGCAAGGAAGCCCGAAACTTTCAGATTCGGGATTCTACAGATGTACCAGTTACTATCCAAATAAAAGGAACCTTTGAGAGATGTCTGTTTCAGAGTTATTGGTTGGAATGGAGAGGCCTCCATTGGTCCTTGTGTCAGATGGAACGCTGAACCCCAGGCACATCTGGATTGTCCTAAGATATTATCCTTACCCTTCTCTAAACCCAAGGCATAAAGGTCAAACCATATTGGAAAGGGGATTTAATTCTGGTTTTGGATTAATTTGGGGATTTCGGACTGTGGCTGGAATGCTTTCCTGCCTTCAGAAGGTAGAGGGGACAAAAAGAAAAACAGAATTGTCCAGACAGTTCCTACAGTTAAGTTGAGGATTATAAGCATGGAGCAGTGAAGATTGTAGGAAAAATAAGCACAGAGCGGAAGATATATCCTAATTCAGAATGACAGGGACCCCAAAGGCACCTGCCCACAGCAGCCCTTCATTAGTAATGGAAGAGCAATAAGGGGCATCTAGAAATGTAGGCAGACAATAACTTGGTCAAACACACACGCGGTAGATTCTCATGAATTGATCTCATAGATCAAAAATGCAGAAAGAGACACAGCCTTGCAAATTCAGCCTATTGCTACTTTGCAGGTTTGTGGTAGCCTCTACACACAACGTGTTTTTTGTGGCAGTGAGAAATTCTAATGCAGACCCCACCATCTCTCTTTCCTTCACCCCTCAATAAGTTTCCACCACTTCTATCCAGGTGAACAGGAATGAAATCAAGTGGAACGTAACAAGCAAAGTGATAGGAAAAGAAGTATGTGCATTCATGGGTTTCCCACAGAGGAAAATTTGCCACACGTTTCCCACAAAACAGGTTGGGAAGAATTCTCAGGACTGTAAAAAAGGAGATTTGAGGACACAGATTGTCCTAGATGAAGTATCTCACTATCCTGGAGAAACAGATGGAAGCCATATCCGACAACATTTTTTTTTCAGGGTTCCTTAAATTACCTTCCTCCAGATCTGGATGATTCATTTCATCTTTAAATCTCTTTAACTCTCCAAAGATGAAGGAACACCCATCGCTGCTTCCATTTTCCCTGTCAGCCCTATAAGGTAGCTCAGATCAAGAAACCAATGCCATATTGTCCAAAAACTACTTTTGTTGTAACACTTTAGGAACAGAATCTTGCAAGTCTGAATGTCTTTTATCTTTGTATAAATTAAGGGGGAGCTAGCTGGTTTGATATAGGTGGTTCAAATCTCTAGCGCCGTGTGACGGAGTGAGCTCCTGTTACTTGTCCCAGCTTCTGCCAACCTAGCAGTTCGAAAGCGTTTTAAAAATGCAAGTAGAAAAATAGGGACCCCTTTGGTGGGAAGGGAACAGCGTTCTGTGCACCTTCGGCATTTAGTCATGCCGGCCACATGACCACAGAGACGTCTTCGGACAGCGCTGGCTCTTCGGCTTTGTAACGCAGATGAGCACCACCCCTTAGAGCTGGAAACGACTAGCATGTATGTGCGAGGGGAACCTTTACCTTTACCTTTAGCTAGTTTGAGATGTTTCCCGAATCCCACCTGAGGAGGGGGCCTTTTCTGTCTGTCCTTCAAGGCTATTTTCAATGCGCCCTACCCAAGACCAGGGGTGTGCTCTATCCCTCCATGCACCCATTCACCCCTACACCAGAGGAAAGACTCACCAGAATGGGATTTCACGTCAGTTCACTTGTTCCATGTTTCTTGCCGGAGAACAGGAGTCTAAAGGGAAAAAAAAGAAGCATACTTTTTATTTATATGTATTTACTTATTAAATTTGCCAGCCAACTCACTATTCAAAGTGATTCTGGGACACATACAATGCAATAAAACCATACACATAAAAACATTAAAAGTACCAAGTAGTAGGTAAAGACTACAGACCCAGAGCACAGAAGGTACAGAGGCAGAATTTTCTCTATTATTCTTCCAACCATCTCTAGCATAGAGCACCCCCATCAGTAGCTTTACCCTTAACCATTCTAACCATAGTTACTTAGAAACCGGTGCTGAAGGACATGGCCTATTGTGTTGCATTTGCTCAAACCTAAGCTAGAATACACATGAAAATGTAAGTCAAGTCTGTTTTTACCAACTATAGTAGCAAAATAGTATTGAGTCTATCAATTTGCTTTATGGAATTTTATTTAAAAAAATAGACTGGAAAATCCATGTTTCCATTTGTCAAAGTTCCCTCAACAGAGTTCTTATACAGATTCCCTCATTGTAGGTGGCTTTTAGCATCTACTCCACAATAAACTTTTGTCAAAATGCTGATTTTCCCTACAGGTTTGGCTTCACAAACTTCCCAATTGCCTCTTAAATCTTAGTGAAATTTTATTATTTCTACTCCTTCTCTCCCTATTGCCTTCTAAGTCAAATGTTGCTGCTAAAATGCCCTGAATAAATAAACAGATCTTTGAGGCCAATGGATATATTTGCAATTGAGGCACTTTTACAAAATATTTTCTATAGATAGCCTTGCCCCTGTATTAAATGGCTGCAGAGATGGCTGATCATTCATGCAAAGTAGAGTTTACATTCCTTTATTTGTGATGTCAAAAACTTGCCCCAGTGTGCCTAGCCACTAGGTAAGCTTGAGTCTGAATGCTAAAGTGCAGAAACTGTCTTTTGAATCCACCCCCCCGTTGTGTCTAAAATTTCTTTTTCTGCAAAAGACAAGTAAAAGAAGCTCAGAAGGAACTCCACTCATTTCCCCCTCCCCCAAAAAATCTGAACTGGAGACTAATCTAAAATAGAAGGATAATTTCAGCTTCAAATGCCAACTCACACAAGCATTAACTCACCATCATGGAGAGGGCAAAATCATTATGCTCAAAATGTGACACCAAGGAAAGCAACTAAATGAAGACATTTGTCACTTCAGATACACAAGATTCTCTTACTGCAGCCTTACAACAAAGTAGATTCAGCTCATCTTGTGGTCTTTTTTCCCCATTCGGTTTACTTGGGAGACCAACATCTCTCTTGCAAGTCTGAAAGTACAAATCTCCCCCTGTCTAGTTTTACCATCTGATTAGTTAGGGCAGATCCTTTCTACGGTTACAGGAACTGGGCTTGGCTAGTCTAGTGAAGAGAAGGACCAGGGGAGACATGATAGCAGTCTTCCAATATTTGAGGGGCTGCCACAGAGAGGAGGAAGGGGTCAAGCTATTTTCCAAAGCACCCTAAGGCCAGACAAGGAATAATGGATGGAAACTGAACAAGGAGAAATTCAACCTGGAAATAAGGAGAAACTTTCTGACAGTGAGAACAATCAACCAATGGAACAGAAGTTGCCTTCGGAAGTGAGACTTTCAAGAAGAGATTGGACTCCCATCTGGCAGAAATGATGTAGGATCTTCCGCTTTGGCGGGGGTTTGAACTAGATGATCTACAAGGTCCCTTCCAACTCTGACTATCTGTTATCTGTTATGTTTCTTCCTCTACCCATTACTCAGTTGTGGTCTCCTCCTCCATTTATCTGATCATTCTCTATGACAGAGGTGCCCAACCCATGGGCCAACTCTGGGAGTTGAAGTCTACAAGTCTTAAAGTTGCCAAGGTTGGAGACCCCTGCTCCAGATGGCCAGTTCCAAGAGAGACCGGAAGGCATCTCGTTTTATTTCCTTGGATGATGGGGGATGTTGTCCAGCTGGCAAGATGTTCTCTTTCCTCAGCCTTCAAAATGTTTGGTCATAGTTCCCTTTTCTCTAGGATATCTCTTCAATTGACCCCCTGCACATATGTGGCGAGACCCAAAGACCAGCTGGCCAGCGGGAGGCGCATACATCCATGCGCAGCAAAGCAGAGTTGGGGTGACGGATCACGTGCCCACAGAGGGCTCTGCATGCCACCTCTGGCATGCATACTGTTGGTTCACCATCACGGATCTAGGTTGTCTTCCCACCACAGTCTGTGGAAAAATTGTCCTCCATGAAACTGGTCCCTGTTGCCAAAAAGATTTGGGAATGCTGCTGTAGGCAACATTCCCCCACCCCCATCTTCCAAGGTCATCCTCATATTCCATTACAGCCCATGAAGTGGTATTGACCTCTTGAGAGACAAGATGGTTTCACCAAACCATGAAGGAGGTGCTCATGTTGCATCTTCTTCTCAAGTAGCCACTGCTGGACCCAAGAGTCCTGGGTAATTTTTGTTCAACTTGTGATGACCTGGAGTGTAACACAAGCGTAACAAAATCCAAAACGTACTTTAATGCCTCCAACTTGGCCCCACTGTTCAATAATTCTCAGTTGGAGATAAAACATATTCAAAAATAGTCTTCAAAAGAAAGCAATGCTGTCCAAACTTAATCAGCAGATAGAGGTGAAATAAAAAACCAATCAAACTACAATGAAGAAATTTCCACAACAGACCAGGATAAGTAATTACCAAATTCAGGGAGATAACAAGGCACAGTCTGTTGGAAGGATGCCAACCAAGATAACTCCAGCCCAAAATAAAACATGCTTTGCTTCTGGCAATGCTGTGTTTTAACCATCTATCTTATATACTATTCTCCCCAGCTGCAACCAATGAGGGGGATCATGGCCGCTTCCTCTCTCATAAGCTAAGTTGTTTCCTTCTCCGTTCCTCCCTACATGTCCTAGGATGAAGAGGGGGTGGGCCTGGTTCTTCCTTTGACTGCCCACCCAGCCTCTGCCCTTCCCCAGCCTCCTCCACAACCTCCGGAGCCACATCTCCACTCCCTGTCTACTGTTCCTCCTCTCCCTCAGAGTCCGACTCGAACAAGGGCCTGACACAACCTCTCCGTTCTAGAGAATGTTGTTGAGAAGGTTGGTAGGGTAGCCACTGCAGAAGACCTGCCTTCAGGCAAAACCTAAAACCTTGCTCCTTTCCCCAGGCCTTGAATCAGGATGCCTGCATGACCATTTAGGCTGCAGATGATTCAGGGAGAGTGTTTCGCTCGTTCTTTCAAGGGGACTGATGTTCTTTTGATCTAACCTGGCCTCTTTTCTGTGTTCTCCTAATCCATGAAGCCGCTCAGGGTCATTTTGGAGTTGTCAAGTCTAAAAACTCATAGAAACAAACAACAAATCAATCAATAAATGCTGTGCCAAAAAGTCTGGTCTTAATTTATTCTCCAGTGCTCTTGATCATTGGATGTTGGAGGGAGAAAAACAAGAATAGCGTGAAAAAGGTGTTGTACGTTCTCTCACTTTTCCAATCTTTTTGAGAAGCAGTTGTTCCAAATTGTTCCCCATTTGGATCACTTGGGGTCCTAGCTCACGTATCGGTACCAAACCCCCATCTCTGGCCTATCAAGTACACCTCGCCATCATGCCCAGTGCTGATTGCACAGCTGTCAAGCCAAATCACTGTCTGCTGATGGCTAGTCTGCGGAATTATTTTTAATGGCGGGTGCCTTAATACTACGAGAGCCAAGAACGATGAATTGGAGTCCTTGGTCTCTGATGCTGACCTTCACAGCAGCCCCAAAGGAAAGGGGAGGGGGGGGAGAAAAAAAGGAGAGAGCCTCCAAAAAAAAAGAAAGAAAGAAAAGAAAAGCTGGAAATAGCCAAAGCCCCAAGCTCCTTAACCTTCCACTGAGCACCAGGAGAAAGGCAGGTAAATGGAAAACTCTGTGATCTGATATTCCCCCAAATAGATCGGGCTACAAAAATCTATTACAAGTAGTCATTGATTTACAATCATAACTGAGCCCAATACAGGTTATTCCTTGTTTTACAATAATTCGTTTAATGATCGTTCGAAGTTACAAAGGCACTGAAAAAGTGACTTAACGGCCGTTTTTCACACTTACGACCATTGCAGCATCCCCACGGTCAAATGATCGAAATACAGAACCTTGGCAACTGACTCATGACAGCTGTGGTGTCCTTGGGTTCATGTGATCGTGTTCTTTGGACAAGCAAAGTCAATGGGGAAGCCAGACTCACTTAACAACCGTGTTACTCACTTAATAGCAGCAGTGGTTCACTTAACAACTGTGGCAAAAAAGCTCATGTTACAGGCAATTCACAATTTACTGGGGCAAAATTTACTTAACAAATTTTGCGCTCAACTGTGGTCATAAGTTGAGGACTATCTGTAATGACGGTTATGAAGTGCAATGGTCATAAAGAGAACCACCATTTGACCGAACCTGGTTTTACAACCTTGCTTGCACAGTTGTTGTTTTTTTTTAAGTTTTATTTTTTCACATTTCAAAAACATCTTTTATTTTTATTCCAGGCTTTCACTTTTCCATATAAACATGACCTTGATTACACATTCATCTTTCACATTTAGTTTCATTTCTTATCATCGCTTTCCATATTTTCTATTAATTTTCTCAAGTACTTTCCTCAAAACTTATTTTATATATTTTCAATTCATTTCTTAACCTATTTCTTTTAACTTTAAATCATTCTCATATCTTCGTATTCATTGTGCTTTATACTTTTATCTGACAGGTTTGCAATTTCATCGCGTATTCTTATTTCATCATTTCAAAAACTCCATCTCAATTCAAACATTTCAGAAAAGTTTCCCCCACCAGTTAGAGTGTGACACGCCTATACCTTATATATCATTTGGTTAGATCCTCTTTAATTCCCAATAATCATTTAACTTTTTAATTATCACCTTAAAAATTAATAACAATAATCTCCTGGCAACCACATTACACATATACCTTTTAAGTCAGATTTTGCATGGCACTTTCCCCTTCAATTACATCAAATAATTTCAAAAAG